TGATTGGAGGAACCTCTAAAAGAACTGGGTTCTGCTAGAAATAGAACTCCAGGCCTCCACCTGCAAGGAGCTAGATTCTGCCACAAGCTCTGAGGAAGCTGGAGGAGGACTCCAACAACAAGACGGCAGTTCAGCTCTCTGAGAGCTTGCCCAGAAGGCACGGCCACACCAGGCCTGAACTTTGATCAGGAATAGCAACAAGGAAGGGGCTTGTGATGCAGGAATGGAAAGTTAGCGCATGCCAGTCCATCCCCTAGAACCGAAAAGGGTGCCAAATGTTTTAAGGAGGCAAATGTTATGGGGCAGGACTGAGCATGCACTGGGCTGGGAATGAGCTCATTGAACGGCATTAACGTGGCAACCTACAGGTTCCACCCAAGATAAGTGCGGGCAGCCCTCAGACCTGACGGCCAGAAGATCAGGATCTCTAGTAGTAGCACATCAGGTGTGATTAAGACTGCAGAGACAACAGTGAGCTGTGCATGCACTGAGCTCAGGGAAAACTCACTGGTCCCACAGGAAAATAATACAGACCATGACATTGTATGGATCGAAATAGGTCCGTGTGGTCCTCAGACTTAACATCCAACAAGTTCCAGCAAGATCAACACCACCAATAACCTAGATTTCCCTAATCCTGGGACATGCTCCAACCATAAGTGGGAGAAAGGTTGTACAGACAATGGTGCAACCTCAGCACAGTATCAAAGGACGTGGAGACTGGTGAGCCAGGGGCTGGTGATGTGGAGACCATGGTAGAAACCTGATGTAAGAACCCAGAGCTGGAACTCGCTGGAAGGAGTGGCACAAGTGGCTGCAAGCAAACAACTATATACCAATAATAAGTAAAATCGAAGTGTAGACCTGTGGGTGACACGGCTTAGAAACCTGCCTCAAGGAGAAGACTTTGCTAACCAGAAGTACAAAGACCAAGAGCAAAAGAAGAGACAAAGACACAATGAATATTACTGAAAACTCCCCTGCAAAGGAGCAAAATCCTTTGCCAATCTCAGAGTTAACAGAGGAAGACATTGAGAAAATGGGGGACACAGAATTCAGAAAACTCATTTTAAAGCTTCTGATCAACAATGAGAAACACATACAAGAGTTCAAAGAATTTAAGGAATATTTTACACAAGCAATAGCAGCAATAAAGCAAATCAAGGCTGATATATCAGAAATGAAGAATACAGTGGAGAAAAAAAAACAAAAACAAAAACAAAGTACAGTGGAGAGTCTCCAAAATAGAATGAAGCAAGCAGAAGAAAGAATATCAGAATTGGAAGATATTTCCTGTCACCAGAGGGAAGCAAACAAAAAGCTGAAAGCAAAACTGGATCAGGCCAAAGAGAGTAGTCAAGAATTGAAAGACACTATTAAGAGGCCTAATGTAAGAGTTATGGGAGACCAAGAAGGGGCAGAAAGAGAAACTGGTTTTACAAATGTATTTCATGAAACAATAAAGGAAAATTTTCCTAATCTAGAGAAAAAATTGGGAAACAAGATTCAAAAGGGGCACAGAACTCCCAATAGGCCTGATCAAAAGCAATTTTCACCAAGACACATGATCAAGCTCTCTTCAATCGAACAAAAGAAAAAGTTCCTTAAATGTGCACGTGAAAAAAATAAATTGACATATAAAGGAATGCCAATTAAATTCACAGATGACCTCTCACAGGAAACTCTACAGCAAGAAGAGAATGGAATGACTTATTCCAGATTCTATAAGAAAAAATTGTCAGCCTAGGATAACATATCCAGCAAAGCTTTCTTTTGTCTTTGAAAATGAAGTAAAATTCTTTCACCATCAAGAAAAGCTCAAAGAATTTGCTTCTTCCAGACCTGCCCTACAAATGATACTGCAAGATGTTCCTTTGACAGAGAAAAGTAATAGCATCAAACAAAATCAAAGGCAAATGGGACGAACATCCCAGTAAAATGACAACAAAAGACTGAACCAATGAACAACCCATTCCTGAAATGACAGGACCAAAGTACCACCCATAAGTATTATCCCTGAATGTAAATGGCTTAAGCTCAATCAAATGTCATAGATTAGCAGACTGGATTAAAAAAACAAAACCCATCTATTTGTTGTCTAGAAGAGACACATTTCACCAACAAAAATCAGCGGAAACTCTATTGCATGGGTTTTGATGTGTTCTGTGTTTCATCTCTTCAAAACACTTTCTTCTGATTAAATTCTTCACTGTAGATCATACAGCAGCATCATTTTCTGCAAGAAGGTTCTTGATTTTCATTTCTTTATCTATGTGTTAGTCATTTAGTAGCATGTTATTCTTTTTCTTCCTGATGTTGATTTTGTTTTGTGACTTTTCATTTAAGGGGATGTATAGTAGCTGTGTAATGGAGACTGTCATATCTAGTAACATGTTATTTAGCTTCATGGCATTGTAAATTTCTATTTTTCTTTCTATTGTTGATTTTGTATAAGATTTTTCATTTGAGGTAATGTATGGTAGCTGTGAAATGGAGACTAACATATCTAGATGTGAGGATGCAATGTAGTATGCAGCTCTACTTTCAAAGATGGACTTACAATGAAACTGTTTACTATATCTCGACAATAGGATGCTGGACTCTCTGCCACTGTCCATGCCCGCAATAATGGACATATGACTGTGTATGAAGAACTATACTTTAGTAATGATATAGAGGAACTAGGGGGTGGTGGAGGAAATTGGGGCTGGGATAAGAGAAATACCAGGAACATATGGAATTGTATCATAAAATGATAATAAACAAGAAAATTTACAGCAATATAGAAAAGAAACTATGGTCCAACTTTTTTACATTATGTGATGGTTATATAGGGTTTAGGTTGCTAGCTAGGAGCAGATCAACAGGTGCTTTGGCAGGTTGCCGTTTACCAATCAGTATACAAACAAGCAACAGCACAAACCAGTAATCATAAAGGTCAAACTGTGCAGGCAGAGGAGGGTGTCTGTTAGCAATCCCTGCAGGTGCAGTCAGGTTGCTATAGTGACAGGGCAGGATAGGGTTAGTGTGCTAACCACAGCTTCTTAGCTCAGTGAGGCCGAGCCAGGTGGGTTAGTGTGCGGAGCCAAGCTGCAGACACCCAGTATTGGGTCTGGCCCACAAAAAAATCAGCTGAGTGATGAGCGTGCAGCACCTATCCCTTCCGGATTCTGCAGCTTCTTTAGTGGAGCCTGAGCCAGAGGCTGCCTATGGCTGCTGCAAAGTGGTATCTTCCCCCGCTGGTGTCCATGTGGCCTGTGCTGTCTCAAAGTGTCCTCTGCCTTCCTGCCTCCCTCCCACACTGCCTCCTGCACACACAGAGGTGAAGATCACCAGAGCTCACACACAGGAAGAGCAGGTGCAATCAGCCAACAACACTAAGCAACAAAATGAACACAGGAAGATAGGAGCACTGGGTTGAACCCAAGTGTAAGCTTTGGTCGCCCTGGCTACAAGCAGCCTATACTGTCTTGGTTCCCTGAGACAGGGCTGAGTCCTGTGATGGCAGGTGTTGATGGACACATCCTACCAGAGAGAACAGAGCACTGGAGCAGCAGAGATGGATCAGCAGTCAGCATGACAAAGCCTGATGGGCAGAGCAGCACCTGGGCACAGCCCTGTCCTCACCCAGGGCCTCCCAGCCTCCCCTGTCCCACCTGAAGCTCACTCAACATAACAAACACATGGATTGAGAAAGGTTTTCAGGTATTCTGTTTATTTCCTCTGTCAAGTTTTAGAATTTTCTCTCAATTTTCTCACCAATCCCTCAGACAAGAACTGGAAAAAAATAATTTGCTGCTCAGATCTGCACAGGGAAGGATGAAGCTGCAGCAGATGCACCTGACTTGAGACAGGGACGAAGGCACCCACGCTGGGCTGGGAGGGTCAGGCTCCCACCTCACACTGTGCCCACAGGAACACACTCAGCTGCCCTTGCAGGAGAGGATGGGGCATTCTGAAGACACCAAGATGGGGACTTGACCAAGTCTTGCATAGTCCAGTCCCAAACAAGGCAGATGTCTCATGCTTCAGAAACAAGGTGACAAATTCAGGTCACTACACATGGGGACAGGAACAGCAAAGCACACTTGGAATGTGTCCAGATGCAAGGACCCTCATTGTTCCCTCAGTCCTGCACCCTCTCCCCGCCAGGCCTTTCCAGATCTCACTTTACAAGCTGTGAGAGCAGTCAGAGCCCTGGCACTGCCCCCACTTGGGGGAACCAATCAGGACTTGGTCAGAGCCCTGGGGGTGTGGCTGAGGGAGGAGCTACAGGGTGGTCAGGGCAGCTTCTCCATGGGCATCTGACTAAGACAAGGGTCTTGGGGACTCCCCCACACCCTCAAACACACCCCAGTGCTTACCTGCAGCCTTAGTGTAGCTCCCTCCTTTACCATCTGTGAGGGAAAAGAACTGGTGAGAGGCAGGGAGAAGGCAGGGCCTGAGGACCTGCCTAGAGGGAACCCTGAGGACTGGCTCATCTCAGAGAAGATTCCAGAACTGTCGCTACAGACCAAGGAAAGGGTCAGGAGGTGCCTTTCCTGGAGGTGTGTCCTCAGCTGGGACCTCCCCCTAACCTGGGGCTGCGGGAACTCAGGTCCCCATGAGCAGAGTCATCCCTGTGGAGTGTTCATCCTTCACCTTTACTTGTGCTTCACACCAGAGCCAGTGTGAGCACCCAGGGCCCAGCTGGGGGTGCAGGTGTGTGTGCATGGTGCTTCCCATGGATGAAACAGAGGACCTTCTCCCTGGGGGACAGGAAACTCCGCCCCAGCCCTCACCCTGCTCTACCTCAACTCTTGCTGCCTCCTTCTCATCACCACAGCTGTGACCACAGCTCCAGCGAGCACAGCTGCCAGGAGGACCAGGCCAGCGATGACTCCCCACATGTGCACAGTTTGCTGAGGAGGCTCTGAGAAGGGAAGGGAGGGTGAGACGCTCTGACCCCAGGGCTCAGCCCCACCCCTGCTGAAGGCTCTTTCCCTCCCTGCCCTCCTTACCCCATCTCAGGGTGAGGGGCTCAGGCAGCCCCTCATGGTACACCTGACAAGTGTATCTGTGCTCCTCTCCAGCAGACACCAGCACAGCTGCCCACTTCTGGAAGGTTCCATCGCCTGCAGGCCTGGTCTCTATCAGCTCTGTGTCCTGGGTCAGGTCCTCTCCATGACGCTGCCAGGTGAGTGTGATGTCCTTGGGGTAGAAGCCGAGGGCCCAGCACCTCAGGGTGGCCTTCTGGTCAGATATTGGGTGGTGGGTTATGTGTGCTGTGGGTAGGTCTGAGGGAAGAATCAAGACATTGAGACACCTTGCATTACTTCCTTAGGCTGCTAAAAACACTTTTCATTTAACCATCTCCAGAATGAACAAGTGGATGGGAGAGGCAATGCAAAAGCCAAACTCCTGCTTTGCCTCTGGGGCCAGGGAAATCTCCTCTGCCTTGGAATGTTCAAGAATCAGGGAGAGACCATTCAGAACAAGAGGCCCTGGGTCACCAAGGAGGGAAGATAACTTTCAGAGCCTGCCTGGGATGGAGGCCCAGAGATGCCGAGCAGCAATCAGACCTCTGGAGAGTTTTGGTGTGGGACACAGGTCAAGGGCTGAGTCAACATCAACCAGCTGTGCTCACGGCTGCTGTTGGGGACCAAAAGAAATCTGCTGTTCAGCTGTTCTCCCTCTCTATCCAGATCCCTTCATTGATCCAAGGAGGAGAGTAGGCCATTGGAGTCACTCTGGTAGGAGATCTCAGAATCCTGGTGATTTCTCACCCTTAGAACCCAAAAGGGAATAGAGGGAGGAGGCATTGGGGTGCCATTCCCATTTTCCGCCTGCTAGGTCTGAGAGGTACAGCCTCTGCTGGAGGGGATCCTGGGGAGCCCTCTGAGCCCCACGCACCTGCGCGCTGCAGTGCAGCCTTGCCCATCTCCAGGAATCTGCGCAGCTGCTGCACACACTCCCCTTGCAGGTAGGTCCTGTAGTGCTGGGTGAACCCCAGAGCCTCCCACTTGCGCTTGGTGAGCTGAGCCGCTGTGTCGGCTGCGGTCCAGGAGCGCAGGTCCTCATTGAGGGCGATGTAGTCGGCGCCATCGTAGGCGAACTGCTCATATCCGCGGAGGAAGCGCAGGTCCGGCCCCACTACGTCGCAGCCCGAGGTCCACTGGAAGCTGTGAGAGCCTGTCCCCAACCCCGGGATCAGCCATGTCCACTCGACCCTGACCCCGCGTGCTGATGGGTCAGAACCTAAGGTGAAAACACGGGCTCGCTCACCGTGCTCGCTCTGGTTGTAGTAGTCCAGGGCGGTGCGCAGGTTCGAGTGCAAAGTCTGCTGGTGGACCCTGGCGATCTGTGTCTGCGCCTCCCAGTACTCGGTTCCCTCACCATCCATCCACGGCACCCGCGGCTCCACCCGCGGCTTGGCGGCGTCGCTGTCAAAGCTCACGAACAGCGTGTCGTCCACGAAGCCCACCGAGGTGTAGTGGGGCTCCCTGTGGCCCGGCCGGGACACGGCGATGTGGAGGTAGCGCAGGGAGTGGACGGCTATAGGCGGGTGGAGATGGGAGCAGCTGAGAGGGGAGGTCCCTGGAGCCCTAGCCGTCTCCCACTTGTGCCGTCTCTGTGTCCACCCCATACTCACCCGCCCGAGTCTCCAGCAGAGCCTGCACCCCGAAGAACAGCAAGAAAAGGGCTTGGAGCTCCATAGATTAGAGCCTCAGTGTCCTGGCATCTGAATACCCTGAGATGTGGAGGAATGGGTGATTGGCTCTGAAAGGGCGAAGGTGATTGGCCGGGAGTGTGCCGTGTTAGGGCGTCACGAGTATCCAGTCAGAAAGCCCTGGCCCAGGCTGTGAGAATCGAAAGTGTAAGTGAAAACGTGTGGAGATGCCCCGGGGCTAGAATTGTTAGTCCCTCACTCCACCCATGAGACTGACACCCTAAATGAGAGCCGTGCCTCCAACTGGGACTGGGAGTCGGTCTGCGTCCCCTGCTCTGCACTGAATGCCATTTTCCACAAAAATCCTGGGGCCTGACCCAGGGGGCTGTTTGAGGAAACTCGGGGAGACCTTCAACCCCAGCCACAGCCAGCCCAGTCTCTTCTCTCCTTTTATAGTATTGCTCTCTCTGTGGTATACTCCGGGTTCCTGAACTGTGCGCTGGAGTCTTCCAGAGGGAAATTCATCCCCAGATAGTGCGTTGTCAGACTGTGTCAGCTGGCCTGGGAGGGCAGATGAAGAAACTGTGACTTCCTGGAGAAGTCGTGCTCAGTCACCACACACAGGTCCCGGTAGATACCAGTTTCCTTCGGGTGTAACTACAGTGATCTGCAATCTAATCTGCAAAGCAACGACTTTATCCTTCAAGTATAAAAGTGTGTGAAATCCTTGCTATAATGCTCAAAGGACAGCATCAGTGTTAGGAAAATATCATCAGTATGGATTTTGTCTACCAGCATGTCCAAGCTTCTGCCACCTGCTGGCTAGAGCAGGTCAGAGCCCTCAGTGTGCACTTCACCAGGGCTGGGGAATTGTTGGAGTGACTTCTTACAATAATTTTACCTGGATCCTTAATCTGTTTCCTTCAATGACCATAAATATTTCCATTTCTATTTCTATTTGGAAGAGTTACAGAGAAGGAGAGACAGAGGGAGATATTTCCATTCATTAGCTCACTGCCCTAATGGCCCCAGTGGCCAGAGAAAAACATGTCCAAAGATAAGAGCCTGAAGATTTCTCTGGGTATCCCACCAGGGTGCAGGAGCCCATGGTCTTGGACCATCCTCAGCTACCTTCTTAGTCCATCAACAGGGAACTGGATCAGAAGTGGAACAGCTGGGTTTTGAATTGTCATGCATATGTGGTGCCAGTTCCAGAGGCAAAAGCTTAGCTTGCTATGCTAGTTTCTGTGTTGTATATTTTAGACAACCTTCTGTAAAAGAGTAAATAGTAGATGCAAAAAAAATATCTTGCTAAGTGCTGGGACAGGGTACCAAGCTGTAACAGACTGGACCACAATATTCCCTGGAAAATGCAAGAGACTTGACTGGACCTGGGCCTAGTAGGGGAACTTTGGGCACTCCTCTGCTAGGTCTCAATTCTTACTCTTGTGCATGAGAGCCAGGGCTGGGGGCAGGCAAGACTGGACAAGGCAGCAACACCTGTCAGCATCCATATGGACTGGATAATGGGATGGGTTGGGCTGACTTGAGCTGTAACACCCATAAATACATACAATAACCCAGTTGGGACACATCTTGGACCAGATCAGTCCAAGATGGACTGGAATGTGTAGGAACTGGAGCTGGGGACAGGCCTGGTAGGAGTTGTTGGAGATCACCACAACTGGACTGCTGTTCCTGCTGGTGTGCGTAAGGGCCAGGTTTGTGGCTTGCTGGATTAGGCTGGGTTGCAGCACTTGTCAATTTGCATAGGATGTGGGGATAGAAACAGAACTGACCAGGCAACTACAATCACCAGTGTGTGCATAGGCTGATATGGGTAATGGACTAAACAGGACCCTGTACTGGCAGGCACATACTGGCAGTCTACGGTCACCCCAAATGAGATTCCTTGGGGGATTTCCTGTTGCATCCAACTCAAGTCTCTCCCCAAGGAGTGTATCCCAGACAACTCTACAAAGTAGAAAGGTTTGTTGAGAAGGCAGGTAAACAGACCGACTGGCTGGGATCAGCTCTCTTTTCATTCTGAGTGTGAACCTGGGATGCGGATTACAAGCTTTTACATAGAATTTGTGAGTTAGGCAGATTGGGAACCAGGTGAGTTGGGCAGCCATGGGAACTAGGACATACTATATTAGTTCCTGGAATTGAGGGTTACTGTCAGGGCATGTTTCACCTTGTGCTTTGACCCCCAAATTAGCAAGCTGGCAAAGCATTTTGTATAGAAGCATAAAGAGCAGGTTAGCAGACTTATGCAGGCTTGAACCAAAGAGGCTTCATTTTGTGGCTAGATTCCACATCCACAACTAGATCGCTGGACTCAAAGCCCTGACCACAGGGAGAACCACAGGATTTATGATCTGACCTTGGAATGCATGTATCAGAACAGGGCCTCCTTAATTGCTAATGCCCATGTAGTGGAGAGCATGCTCATGTGCATAAAGCAGACATGATAGCAAGCTCACTGGGCCTGCAGGGAACAGCAAGTGTTACGTAAGACAATGGAGAGCAGAGCAGGTTGGGCAGCTCTCCTGGCTGAGCTTTGGCAGCAAATGTCTGGGTAAATGGATGCACTAGGGTGGACTCTGTCAGTCAATGGACCTTTGAAAGGTTTCTCAATCTTGGAACAGCAAAACTAATAGTATATCAGAACTATTAAAACCATTGAAACAATGCCCTCGGAACATTCTTACCCACATTGGGATTCTTAAGAAGACACCAAACATATATCCTCTGTTTCCAGGGACTGATACAGTTGGGCAGCTGGGACCACCCCTCAATGTTCCTTTCCCCAGGCTGGCACCGTGACTTCGTAGGCTAAAGCTTCTGCCTGTGGTACCTGCCTCTCTTTGGCTACTGGTTAGCATCCTTCCTGCTCCACTTCTGATGCAGCTCCCTCTAATATCCTGGGAAAGGAACAAAGGATGACCCAGGTCCTTGGGCCCCTATGCCCACATTGAAGCCTGGGAAGGAGCTCCTGGCTCCCAACTTTGGATTTGTTTGGCTCCATCCATTTTGGCCATTTGGGCAGAGAACCAATGAATGGAAGATCTCTCTTTCTGACTCTTCTTCTCTCAGTAACTTTGCCTTTCAAATAAAAATAAAGTTTAAAAGCATATTAATAAAACAGACTTTTATTTTTAAAAAGATTTACTTATTTTTATTGGAAAGGCGGACATACAGAGAGGAGAGACAGCGAAGAAGATCTTCATCTAATGATTCACTCCCAAAGCGAATGCAACAGCTAGAGCTGAGTCAATCCGAAGCCAGGAGCCAGGAACTTCTTCCTGGTCTCCCACGCGGGTGCAGGGTCCCAAGGCTTTGGTTCGCCCTCAACTACTTTCACAGGCCACAAGCAGGGAGCTGGATGGGAAGCAGGGCTGCTGAGATTAGAACCAGCACCCATATGGGATCCCAGTGTGTGCAAGGTGAGGACTTTAACCACTACACTATCGCGCCAAACCCATAAAATAGACTTTTAAAAAGCAACAGAAAAAAAAATCAATGAAATGAAAGGTAGTTATTTGACAAGATAAGCATAAAAGAGAAACCATTAGCGAGACTAACAAAATGAGAAAAAATGCAAAATTAGGAGCTCAAATGGAGACATAATCCAAACCACAGAAATGCAGAGGATCATAAAAAACAGCTGCAACAAGTACATACTAAGAAAGTGGAAAACATTAAAAAAAATAGATAAATTTGAGGGCATATGCTGTTTAACAGGATTGAACCAGTGTAGAGGCACCTGGACCTGTCCCCTTGAGCACTGGCCCTCAGCCCGGGTTCTTCCCCACCAGCTGCCACCTCCTAGACAGGGCTGGGCCTTGCTGCAGTGGTGCTGTGGGATCATAGCTCTCGTGGAGCACCTCCCAGTGATGGACAGAGACAGGGGCAGGGAGATAGTGGACAACAAGTGAGCGCTGTCCAACGGTGTGTGGCCTCCATTTAACATTGTGGCTGTCAGGCCAACACACCTGTGATTGATGGGGTGCAAGGCTTACAAGTCTGTCCCAGGCCAACAGGATGCCTTCAGCACCTACCACGGGAACAGCTCTGGGATGACTGACAGGAACCAGCTCAAGGGAGCTCTCCAAGGTTTCCCTACAGGCTCTCTGACCAGGTCTGTGAGCCCCAACTCTGAGAGTCTGACAGATTGTAGAGTGCAGATTATACTGGATGGCTTCATCCAGGGCTTCACTGAGTGCAGGTGGGTGTGCCAGGACAGCTGGATCCAGGCGTCTATGAGCAGTTCCTTTCTGTGGTCTGCAGTGTCCTGTAACATCAGCCTTGTAAACAGCAAGAGGACTTGTCCATCAAAATTTAAGCTAAATTGCTTAAATTCAAAGAAGCAGAACACAGATGCTACATTTTATATACATAGTATCTGGAGACTGGCTATTGATAGCAAAATGATTTTGTAATTGTAACAAAACCATTATAATGTGACTGCTGAGCTTGGTGAGTGTGACATTAGGTAAGGTGTAATAACAATTCTGCTGGGATAAATACCTCAAGTACTTGAATAGATGCTTCTAGTGCTGAAGTGGAAATGTCTTTGTCAGCCAATAACTTTAGTATAAAACAACTTCCACAGAAGGCACTTCATGTGCTGTACTACTTAAAAAGCATTTACTACACTCATTGGAATATGTGACATAAACATAAAGTGAATGGTGAGACAACCAAAAGCACCTTGGAAATCTTTCTGTGTGTATGTGTGGTTTATTTATTTATTTATTTATTTCAGTTGAGATTCTTTCATTGCAAGCATCTACCAAGCATAGAGTCCAGCATCTTATTGTCCAGACAAGTTCAACGGTTTCTTGGGGAGACCATCTCTGATCTGAAGGTAGAGCCGGCAGTGTATCATCCCGAGCAATTAAAAGCCCTGACATTACATCAGTAACAATTTATAACATTATGGAATTAGTTGACATGGTATTGAGTAACCAATATGTTAAAAGAGAGAGAAAAAAACAAGAATGCAAGTTCTGAACCACATCCTGTGACTTCTACATTGACATTTCAATTATTAGTTTATATACAACCGGGTTCTATACACCTTAAAATGGCTATAGATTACTGTTCAGCTGTCTCATGTCTATTTTAATTTTAGTATTTAGCAGTTTATAGCGTTGAAGCATGATTTTGCTGAACCTGGCTATT